GTTACGGTCGAAGAACGAGGACAGCGAGGATGGGAGAAGAGTGACGGATATCGTGATGAAGGCGTCCTCCTGTCATCTCTCCTCTTCCACCTCGCCGGATCGTCGCCCCGCGGCTCCTCGACCCTCCTCCGCCGCCGACATTACTTTCCTCGCTTCCGCCGGCATCCGACGCCATCCGACGCCATCCGACGCCGTCCGACGCCGTCCGACGCCGACGCTTAGATCGCGCTCGCGTCCACCCGCGAATAACGCGTCGCGCGACGTCACGCGAGTCCGCGACGAAATCTCGTTGCCTTTCGCGGTCGATAGGAATTCCGTGCCCTGTTAGCCGGTTTCCACGCGCGAGAAACCGCGTATGGTTCGTTTCCGATAATGGAAAACGCGGGCAGCCGCACACGCGAAACGGCACGCTACGAGCGGGGGAGCTGAAACGCGACGAACCGACTGCGAAACGGGTTTGCGGATTTCAGCTTTTTAAGCGGGAGCAACAGCAGCCGCGGCAGCAGCTACGGCAGCCACGCATCGATCATCACTGTCGCCTGTTGCACGATCGACCGACCGACCGACCGACCGACCGACCGACCGACCTGAACGACCGAACGACCGAACGACCGAACGACCGAACCAGAGAACGATGAACGTACGAACGAACGGACGAACGAACGAACGAACGAACGAGCAAACGAAGCAACGAGCGAACGGGAACAAACGAAAGGACGGACGAGTGGTTGGTCTTACCGGACGCGTATCCCATCATCCATCATCCATCATCCAGTCGTCCTACCTGCATCAGCGGACGCACCTACGGCGCGACCGTGCGTGCCCGATCATTAATACCGTTCGGTCAAGTACGCGCGACGCAATTTACTCGATCGCTTTCCCCGTGCCTCTATACTCCTATCGGGAACGATATCGCGAAACGGCACCGCGGGCGGCATCGTTAGCGTGCATCTCGAAACGACCCCGTAAACCCTGTCCCGCGACATCGGCCAAAATTTTCACCGTCTCCTTCGTTCTCGCGGGCGGAAAAGCGAATCGGGCCAACGTGTTACGAGTATATACGTGAACGACAGGGCGCGATCGATCGGACGAGGACGTCTTAATCGGCGGTGGTAGGTAGGTAGGTAGGTAGGTAGGTAGGTAGGTAGGTAGGTAGGTAGGTAGGTAGGTTGGTAGGTGGATAGGTAGGTAGGAAGGTAGGTAGCCAGCTAGCTAGCGGGACGGAAGGGAACGAGAGAGAACGGTGGAGGGATTTTTTATGCGCCGGTGGAATCGCGAGTCTCGGGACGAAGCCCGTTGGAACGGGGGTTGGGAGGAGGGAGCGAGGAACGTGTGGCGTAGTCGACGATGGGAGGAAGCGATTCGACAGCCTGATGGAGTGAGTGTTGACTTAGGATAACAGTCGGCTCATCGGTCAATCAGTCAGGTAGACTACGGTAGGTCGGTGCTCCGTCTTCGGTTCGGCCCTGTCGTCTCGTTCGGACGCTTAAGTGACTCACGAATCCGACCACCCGACGTGTTCCATCCTGGAAGACAAAGCGATCGGACGAGAAGGAGGAAGAGCGGGTGAAAGGGGGAGAACCGAGTCGTAAACATTTGCGTCAACGCCGAACGCGACGCGTCGTTCGTTGGAACGATCGAACCGGTCGTCGAGTCGAGGGGAACGAGTCGCGAATACATTAGGCGGATCGCGAGCCTTTTCGTCCCGAAGGACGCGCGACGGGACCGATCCACTTGCCAGCGATCTCTTCGATCCACGAAAACTCGAGGAAATCGCTCGCGGAGCGCTAACAGGGGAACCGCGGCGTTCCTCGCACGCGTTTCTGGCGCTCGGGCGCGAGCGAGCGAACGAGCGCGGCCGCTCCGAACTCGAACAACGTCGGGTGTACGACGAGCCCCGAGAGCCGGTTGCCTCTCGAGAGGAAGAAGCGTCCGTTACCGAAGGAGCGGAAGGAAGAAAGAGCTACGTAGTAAGAGGACGAGAGCGAGAGGGCGTGAGGGGCCGGGGAGGAAGCTGAAAGAAGGACGCAGCAAGGAGAATGGATTCACCCGTCAGTCACTCTCTGGCAGACCGCGAGAGAATCACAATGCGAAGCCTCCCTTTGCTCTTCGTCTCTCTTCGTCCCTCTGTCGGACCGCCCGTTCACCCGTTCGCCCGTTCGCCCGTCCGCCCTCCCGCTCGTCCGTTCGTCCGTCTGTCTGCCTGTCCATCCGATCGTCTCTTCGTCTGCCTCCTGTCACTCTCCTCGCCAGCCTCCCGACGGTTCTCTCGCATCAGGAATTCATCTCCTCTCTTCTGTCCTGTCCTGCCTTGTCCTCCTCCTCCTCCTCCTCCACCTCCTCCACCGCCTCCTCCGTTGCTCCTTTTGTTCCCTCCCGCCTTCGCCCGCCTTTCCTCCTCGCCCGCTGGCCAACTTCCTTCTCGCTTCTCTGCTTCCCTGCTTTGCCGTCGCGCCATCGTCGCCACCGTCGTCGTCGTAGTCGTCGTCTGCTCGCTCGTTATCGCGCCCCGTTTTATTTCCGGTACGGTTGCCGAAGAAACGGTACGCGGCGATCGGCCTATCCTCGATCCTTCGCGGCGTTCCGCGCGCGCTTGTCGTCGAATCGCGTCGCGACCGGACTAAACGTTCGGATCAACGTCGAGATAACGAGCGGCGCGAGAGTTGGCGCAAAGGAAAATTCGTTATCTAGATTTAGCCGACAAACGATCGGCGCGTCCGCGCGGCCCGGTGTAAATTTCCCTCGCGACCGCGAGATCCTCTAACGACCGGTCTAATTACCGGCAAATCTAACCGATTCGATACGCCGCGAAAGATATATATCCGGACGAGACCGCGATTTAGCGCGAGATTACCGGGATGACCGCGACGTCGTTCGCGGCCTACTATTACCGGAGACCGGAAGAGGCGGGGGCGGAGCGGGAGACCCGGATGCCGCGAAAGAAGCGAGAAAAAAAAGGGATCCTTGGTATCGAGGATCGGGACAAAGTCGAAACGGAAACGGGTCCACCGATAAGAGTAATTATCGTTGGCGCGAGGGAGTCGACTGGTAGCCGACAGTCGAAGGTCGAAGGGAACGCGTAGCGAGATCGTTCGCTCGGGAAGCAAACGGAGCTCTCGGGCCGCGTGGTAACCAACCACCACCACCACCACCACCACCACCACCGTGGCCGCCGTAAAGCGCCGCGACGTTTGCTCCGAGAGTCGAGCAGGCCTGGATATCGGCCGGTATCATCTCCGAACCGGTGTCAGGGCTCGGCCGCTTTAAACTCTGTACGCCACGCTCCTTGCTCCCCTCGTATGTTTGCCGTGCGCGGCTGAATACGCAACCCCGCGCTAGTTCCTTCGTTAACGATGCGCCGATAGAAATACGCCGTATCTTGACCGACCGGTGCGAGCATTTGCATTCCGGGGTATACCTTCGGAGCGCGACATCCCGGATGGATCGTGGACGATTCCGGGGCGGGAGGGCGAGAGAGAGAGAGAGAGAGAGAGAGAGAGAGAGGGTGTGTGTGTGTGTGTATGTGGAGAGAAGAAAAGAGAAAGCAGGCACGATCGAGGCGCGAACGAGACGCGTTGGTTTCGTGGGCGAACGAAGGGAAAGAACGCGGCAGGGAAAAAGAGAGTGCGAGGGATGTTCGGAAACGGGCGGAGCTCCGGCAAACACCGGTGGTCCGCCCTGGTCTTCGAGTTGTCGCGTATCCCTTCTCGGTAGCGGCCCGATTCCAGCCGATCCTCGCATGCCGTTCCTTTTTACCTCTCGGTCCTCGTTGTCGTCTTCCTCGTTCCCGTCGTCGACGCGCACGGTCATCCTCATCGCGGACGTTGGTCGTTGGTCGTTGGTCGTTGGTCGTTGGTCGTTGGTCGTTCTCCTTTCTTCGACCACCTCCCGTTCGTTCCCCAACCAAAAGGGTCGGCGAGCAGCAGCCTCTTCCATCGAGAATCGTTCACGGTCGCGCAGGGCTTCGGAAGGGCCGCTCCGGGCCGCTCCGGGCCGCTCCGGGCGAGAGAGACAATGGACAATGGGGACATAAATCTGCGTAATTAGTTGCCGATGCCTCCTCGGATCGATGCGCGATCTCTTTTCCCTCCTTCTTCCGTGGCCCATCGGCGAACAAACGATCGTTTGGTTGGCCAGTCGGCAAAGTAGGACGGTGCTCCACGTCCTGCTTGTCCCCACCCCTCTCGCAAGGGAGGTGTGCTGACTCCTTTCCGCCTCTTTCTTCCTTTTGCTCTCTTCGGCCACCGGTGATCCCCGGATCCGGAGACTCCTCGTCTTGCGCCATCTCGCAACGAGGACGCGTCACCGGAACAAGATGGCGATGCCGTTCGCGTCTCTCGGCCTAACCGTTCATCCACCGATTCGCGATCCCTTCCGGAAATCCTCCGAGACCGGACTTTGCCCCCGCACCCTGCCTCGCACCCGCGACCGCCGCCGCGACCACCACCGCGACCACCGCCACGAGCACGCGATGGCGCGCAAAGTACCCGATACGTATTTCGACGTTTTCATCGACCCCGTCACCGTCCTCGTCCAACGCCAGATCGCGACAACGCGATTCGTACGCGAGTCGGCAAACGGAGAGAGAACGGAAGTTCGCGTAGGCCGTTCGACAATGGGTCGCGGTGATCTCGCGCGACGCACCCGCGAATTCCACCGCGTACACATCGCCGTCGCGACGTCGTTCGCCCGCGTCGACGTCGTCGTTGTCGTCGCTGTAACCGCGAAAGCCCGATAAATGAACCGATAACGCTATTGTGTAACGCCGAGCGTTCCCGCGTCCGCCTCTTTGCTTCGTTTCCCGAGTCTCTCGACTTTCTCGTTTCCAAATTCGCTATCCCGTCCACGAGACGTCGATCCTCCTTGGTTGCCCTTGGTTCCCATGATTCCGGTTCGCGCTTAATAACCGCCTCTTTTCTTACTCGTCCTTTCGAGTATCTCTCGTCGGCGATCGGGTATCGCGGCCCCGACTCAAACGATCCTACGATTTTCCGTTGCAGGGGAGGACGGAGTCGAAGGCTCAGGGCCCGGCGCGGACCTCCAAGGGGAAGAGGGCGATTGCGTCGAGGATGACCGGCCAATTAGTCCTAGCGAGAGAGGTTGCACGACGGCAGCCAAAGAAGAAGAGGATGGGGACGCGACCGACGAGGAAGACGACGAGGACGCATCGCCGCCTACGCCACCACCTTCCGCAACCGCGAGACTGAATCCAACCATTTTAAGGGACACAGGACCGCCGGACAGGTAAACCATTCGTCCCATTCGTGAATCGTGTGCCATTGCCGATAATCTCGGAAGAATACGAGACGCCGAAACGAAACGGTTGCGAAGCGGTGCTGCGACGGAAGAACTGGAGGCGCGAATCGTGGAAAGTGGCACGAACGTAAATTCCAACGAACACGGTTCGCTTGAAACTCATTAGTCGGTGCTTTACCCGGAGCTTGGTCATAAACCGCCTAAATCAACGAGAGCGCCGCTGCCGTTCTCTTTGAAGTTGCCGACGACGGGCGCCCCTCGTGTACACACACGGGTATTCTCGTTGTTTGAGCGCAACGAATCGTCACGGATCCGTGCCGCGCACGAGCGAGAGAACGGTGTAAACGTTGCTCGCTGTCTCTGCGAAAGGAAACCAGACGGGGAGAGAGCGAGACCGAGAGAGGGTGAAAGAGTGATGAAGCGAAAGGAAACGAGCGACAGAGAGAGAGAGTTGGAGGAGGGATAAATAAGCCGGTGCCAGACCGATATCGGTGACTACCGTGCGACGTCATACGGCTAATAGAGATAGGCACGTGTTACGCGTCGGCCTGCATCGACGATCCCACCAACGCCGACGATGACGGCGCTCCACCACCGCTCCGGTACCGCTTTGCCGCATCACCGGTTACCACGGGGGCGGTGGTGGATGCGTGTGCCGGTGGCAGGCTGCGGCAGTGGCGCCTCCGTGGCCCCCGCTGCCCCGCCGCCCAACCGAAAACTTCCCCTGCATGCGTGCCGGCGCCGCGTTCCCCTTTCGTCTCGCGGCACGCATTCGGCATTCAGTCAGAAGCAGTCAGTTACGAGCGAGCCGTCGTCAAGCCTACACAACCTCTCTCGCTCGTTCCCCCGTTCCCCCGTTCCCCGTTCGCGATTATCGACCGATCTTTTCGATTCGATTCGCTTGCCGTTCGCGGCCCGACATCGCGTCGTCGTGCATCGATCATCCATCGAGGGAACGACGACGACGAGGAGGAGGAGGAGGAGGAGGAGGAGGAGGAGGAGGAGGTGGACGACGACGACGGGGAGGGGGTGGAGGAAGAGGAGGCGGCGGAGGAGGAGGAGCGTCGCGGCTACGTTCGACGGGAATTCGACAGGTATCGATCTCCCGCGGTTTTTCGCCACGCGAATCCCGATCGCGAACGCCTGCGCGCGCGCGCGCGCGCGTCCCTCTCCAGCGCGGCACGATCCACGACGCTTGCTGATCCTCTCACCGATTCACCCCGTCACGTTCCTCGATCGCGTCTAACCTTTTCGCCGTTTCTTTTTCATGCTTTCAGAGAGCCAATGAGTCCACGTTGCCCCTCCAGAGATTCTCGGGAATCGTCCGGCCCGGCGACCGGAAGTCCTCCGCCACCAGCGACGAGGAGCACCGCGAGTCCGGTCAGTCCGAGCGGTATCGTGCCACTGCCGCTCGGTAGTCATCCTCTGCTACCGCCCCATTCCGCGGCGATGATGGCGGCCTATCTCCAACAAACGCATCAAAGATTGCTGCTCGGCCACTCGCCCCTGTCCCGTGGCTCGGTGTCGCCTCTGGTTTCCTCCTCGTGTTCTCCACCGGCCGCCACTCCCAGTCTTCTGGTATCGCCGAGCAGCGTCGGCGAGGTGTCGCCCTCGGCCACCCCGTTGCCCGCGGTGCTGGACTTTAGCACGAGGAAAGCGTCGTCGACCGAGGACGACGAGGAGGAACAGATACTGAACCTGAGCAAACCACCCACCCCTTCCTCGTCCACGGAGGCGAACAACGGGCCGTTGGATCTATCGGTGCCGAGTAGAAAACGACCGGGTCCGGAGGATTCGCCGCCCCTACCGGTTCGCAAATCCTCCAGGTTATCCGCGAGCACGGCGGCCGCGGCAGCAGCGGCAGCGGCAGCAGCAGCGGCGGCGGCGGCACATCAAGAGGCCGCTCAAGCGGTCACGGCCGCTGGTTTCGGCAGGCCACCCGTCGTTTCACCGTGGACATCGCCAGTGGTGGCCTCCCACTTTCCCTATTTCGCGGCCGCGGTCGCGGCAGCGGCTACTAGTCAGCAGCAACTCTCGCCGAAAAGCACCGCCGGGGTGGTCGATCATCATCAGCAACTGTGGAACGGCAAGATGAAACCACCGTCCGCCCTAGACAAGTCCTATCAGCCGAGCGAGGCGACCAAAGCGCTGGAGAAGATGAGCGAACTGAGCAAACTCGGCGGCGAGGATCTGTTCAGATCGAGTACGAGCGGCGCGAGTGGCGGATCGGGTAGTGCCGCGGCAGCAGCCGCAGCAGCGGCCGCGGCGGCCGCGGTCGCCGGGAACGCGAGCGGTGGTTCCACGTCCGGTAGCCGACACAGTGCCTGGCAGTCCCACTGGCTGAACAAGGGAGCCGATCAAGCAAAGGACGTGCTCAAGTGCGTCTGGTGCAAGCAAAGTTTCCCCACGCTCGCCGCGATGACGACGCACATGAAGGAGGCGAAACACTGCGGCGTGAACATGCCGGTCCCGTCCGCCGCGTCCGCGCTCCATCCGCAGCCGCCGAACGTGCCGAGCATCGCGGCGCCGCAACAGCCGCATCAGCCGCATCAGCCGCAAACCACCGGGTCCAGCAACATCGGCGGTCCCGCCGGCAGCGGGGGTGGTTCCGCGACCCCGAGCAGCAAGCAGAGTCCATCCGAGCTGAATCTGCTGATCAAGGAGACGATGCCGTTGCCGAGGAAACTCGTTCGCGGCCAAGACGTTTGGCTGGGCAAGGGTGCCGAGCAGACCCGACAGATTCTCAAGTGCATGTGGTGCGGTCAGAGCTTCCGATCGCTCGCCGAGATGACGTCGCACATGCAACAGACGCAACACTACACCAACATCATCTCCCAGGAGCAAATCATATCGTGGAAATCGTCGGACGAGAGCAAGGCTGGCAGCGGCGGCAGCGGTGGCAGCGGCGGCGGTGGCGGCGGTGGCGGCGGCGGCGGCGGCGGCGGAGGCAAGGCCGCCATCAACGGCGGCGGTGGAGGCGTGGGCAGGGAGATGGCGGGCG